TTGATGGTCGCTGCGGTGCTTGGGGGGGAAGGCCGAACAGCGCTGCTGACCGCTGGGTCCCTACCGGTTCCCCTTCCCGCGATGCACGGGGGTATCTTTGGGGATGGTTTCGGGACGGGCAGCGGGGAGGCTGAGCCTCTGGGGGGGAAAAGACCCGGTTCAGAGTCCGGCGTCGCCTCGACCGGCCACTCGGAGCAAGCGGGAAGCGGGAGGTGCTCCCCCGGCGCGGGGCCGGCGGGACTGAGCTGCCCCCCTGCCCGAGATGAGGTGGGGAAAAAGAGAAATCCTCAATGAAATATATATTTAAATGCAAAACGGGGCGTTCAAACAGGGACCCATTATGCGTTTGGTGTGAAACGCTATCAACATTTAAAACTTCATTGTCTCCTTTGTACCAAATCCCTGTAAATCTTCCACTAGCCTTTACTCATTTTCATCTGAAAAGCCTGTTTGGGCTGAATAGACAGCAATCAGCAGCCTCTGGACTTCTCTCTCTCTCTCTGGAATGTCAATTAAAATGCAGATTTTTTTTTTTTTTTTTCTTTTTCCCTCTCCTGATCTCTTAGTGGCAAAAGACTTGAGAAAAACAGGGTAGTCCTGGAAAGCAAACGAAAGGAGTTCAAACAATGAAAAAAGTACTGAAGGGTGCCAGCAGGTTCCCATTAGTCCTCCAGAATTAATGTTTAATAGCTGTGATGCTCAGATTTGCTTGGAGATTGAACTATGATGAAGAGTCTTGTTAGATGTCTCTGTGTGTATGTATATATATATGTGTTTATAAACACTTATGTTTGTATGTGTTTGTGTGTATGTGTGTGTGCATATAAAGCTGTTAGCTTTAAAGCTTCATGTACCTGGATTTTTCTGATGAAGCTACCGGTCTTTTAGGGCGCTTGGGACTTCTTTGTGGAGGGAAGACCCGTGTTTCATTCAGATTTTGCTATTTCCTGCCTAATAGAGAAAGATGCTGAAGAGTTATACAATGAGCAATGTATTGATTTGGTTAACATACTCTACAAATTGTGCTCTCCCTCGGGAGTGATAAACATCTTATAAACAACAATAGAAGTAGATTAAAAAGAACACTGAGCATTGAATTTAATTAATGCCACTGCTGAACAAGTACTACTTGTTTGTGTGTGTGAGTGCGTTTAAACTGAAGTACAGCTTGGAGGAATTTGGTTGGGCTCCCAAACCAGTCTGCTTTCCCATGCTTGTCAGTTCGGCAAAGAAATTTAGGCAGGTATGTGACGAGGTGAAAATTGACTTGATGAGCGAGTGGCAAGGAGAGCCATCAATCATTGGGAGGCTCACAACTCCTCCCCAAAGTGTAGGCTGGGAGGAGAGACAGAGTTCCCTTTCAAGGGGAAAAATAAACACTACGTGTGGCTTTCACTGGGTCTGAGACTCCAGGAGGGATTATGGTATTGTAGTCAGGAAGCCAGAATTGTGGAGGCCAAAAAGCATGCTGGGGCTGTGTTCCAAACATTGAGATAGAGGTACATAATTATCCAGCGCAGGAGGTCTTTTCCAGAGACTCGTCCCCCAGCAACTGTGGCCATTAAACTATGAAAAGAATTTGGTTTTGTTTCATCTTCATCGGAGTCCGCTTCTTTTGGGAAAGGGCAATACCCGAACTGCGGTCGCTGTTGTGGTGGTAAAAAGCGTTTCGGCTCCATGGATGGGTCTAGAGCTCTGATTTTTTGCTTTGCTACACCTTTGTAAGCTGTGGTTTTGAATTTTCTGCTGCTCTGTGGATGAAAACTCCCTTTTTTTCTGCTGGTAGATGTTCAGATGCAGAAGTTGGCAACAGTCATCAGGTGAGAAGACGCGTGGTCGAGTAGCCTTGTGCTGGGCTTCAGGATTTGGGATGAGTGTAGGGACGAGGAACGTGCTCTCAATGGCATTTAACGTAGCCTAAAAGTCTGAAGTGGAATTAATGTTGTTGAAAAAAGAGTCTGGAATATATGCGAGCATTCTGGTATGTTTTCTTTTTGCAAAATTATGATTAAATTTTGCATTTATATACATAGCCTTTAATTGGCATTTCCAGGATGATTTATGGAAATTAAACCAGCATTACATCCAGCCTATTAATTAGGGTTCCAACCCACTTTTCAGCTGGATAAACTGAGCTGTGGCTGTCAGACGGTGACTCAGGAGGTTGACCTGGGTGGTGGCGTCCGGGAGGGCTTCCTCCGGTCCTTGGCCAAACACGAACCCATCCAGGAGACAGAGCTCTCTTCAGTTCTACACCTGCTCTGCGCTTATTTAAAGAAGTTCTCGGCAAGCTCTTCGCAAATGTTTATGCAGTGGTCTGGTGGTGTTTTCACTGGAGATTTAATAGTGGTTGCTAGCTTGTGGTCTGGGATGCTGGTGCTGGGCTTAAATCTCTAAAGGGAGGGACAGAGCTTTGAACTGATAGCAGCTGGGGTGAAAAAGCATCAGGGATTCACCTGAAATACTGGGGATTAATTATTTTCCCCAAGTGCCTTATTTATGTCATCTAAAACCTGCTTCTACTGACTCCAGAAGGTATGCGTATAGTACCCAAGATAAAAGAAACCCCAACAGCATTTCTGTCCTTAGCACTGTGAACTTGGTTTGTATGTAGCAGGTAGAAAAAGGCTAAGAAAATCTGAATGAAGTTTTTAATGGTTGGTTTATAAAGGGAGAATATTTGTCCATGTTTCTGTTTACTGTATGCTGAGGTACCACATCCCAGTAACGGGGAGTTTTGAGAAGTTTGCCTTTATGCCTACAGTTTCCCCTTTTTGTTTTTGTTTTGGTTTTTTTGTTTGTTTTTAACAGGTGTGGGTAGGAGGGAAAAAGAGGTTTTTTATGTTATTTTGGTGAGTGCTCTCTAAGCTTCAGTTGGGTTTCATCACATCTGAGATGAATCGTTGGCCAGATTAGAATGATTGCTGCAGTTACTTGTTTTATCCATTTACTGAGGTTTACCATCTTTTATTTTTGAAGTGGAAAATCAGGTCTAATTTTCTGGTTGAGCTGTTAAATCACCCTGTGAGGATGCTCTTCTGACCCTCACCTGGCATCTTAGTCTGGTGGCAGCAGGGTCCCCTGAAGGGAGTGCCAGTTACTCTGGTACTGCTTCTCTCTTCCATCGACCCATGCCTGGGTTACAGGTTAAACACCCTCCATTTAAATTAGTTTTATTGTGAATAAAACAGACTTTTTTCCCCCTGTCTGAAAAAAATAAAAAGTATCAATAAGCGTTGTTGAGAGAGAGATTGAGAAATGTGTGTGAATGTGCTGTGCAGTTTAGCACCTATATGAAGGGAAAATGATGCTGGGGATGCCTCCTGTGGAACTGCAATCTGTATCAAACTTTATCCAGATTTTAATTGCCTCAAATGCGACGTAGGTGACCTGTATCCCTACAAAGACAAGAGCCTTTCACCTGGACTTTCAGGCTTTGAAAGGACACTGAATTGAGGTAGAAGGAGGTACATCTATAGGGGAACTATGGTGAAATAAAGTTTTATGGATTATCCAAGACTAAAGAGTATTTTTCAGCCGTTTTTTCTTGTGGAAAATTACTGAATTCTTACAAATTCAGCTGGCTGCGGAACTGCCTAGGTGGAGGAATGAAAAACAAGGCAAACTTACATAAACCTTCAAACAATAACAAGAATATAATTTGTATAATTGTGGTAATTTTTTAGCATTACAGGTTATGTGCCTGCACATGTGTGTGCCCCTCATTTTTTAAAAACTGTATATTTTTCTGTCAGTAAAATAGCTCTTTAAATATGTGCTGAGAAGTGATTTTGTGAAAACAAGGAGGACGTGGTTACGCCTCAGGTGATGATGGAAACTGCTAACAGAAAATGAAAAGTCACTCACTTTTCACATATTCTTGAAGCTGGAAAGCTATTTTTCCCATCCTCCTCCTCCTCCCCCTCTCAGCTCAGCTCTGTTCGGTGCTTTCTGAATGTTTTTGGTTTTTCTGTTTAAGATGATTTTGCTAACAGTGTTAAATCTCTCCTCCCCACAGCAGCAGTTGTCATTCCACGGGAGGAGGTATTACCCTGGCCGAAGGCACTGCTTTCTCTCCATGCTTCTCTAGAGGGATGGGATTAAAGTCCACATGGAGATATGGAAATGGACCAGGAATTTACTCTAAAAAGATGGTCAGCTGGCATTCGGGTTGCCTTATCTGCCTGGTGGTGGTCACCATGGCTGGACTTGCCCTGGCTCGACCTTCGTTTAATTTAGTTGTTGAAGATGCCACGCTGGAACCTGAAGGTAAATCGCTCTAGAATGCTTAATTCTCCAAAAGACGTTAATTTTAAATGCCTGAACATCTGAAATAAAGTCAACATTTTTATGTGCTTCGTTTAATCTAAGGCAAGTAACAGATTAGCCCTCAAGAGTGATGTTTTTTGACTTTTCTTGCTCACACACGGGCTGTGTTCATGCAAGTGTGCGTTTATTTAATCTTATGCAAGCAGGCGGTGTCAGTGATTTCACTTGGGACTGTCATCACGTTGTATAATCAAAGTGTAGGGCTGAAAGTTTTCAGGAATGGGTCGTTAAGGAAACCAGCCTGTTGCACCTTCATACACGTTACTTGTTGTTATCTCTGGAGATGAAATGGATGGGTAGCTGCATGTCTTTGTGGTTCTCTTAACCTGAGAAGTTCAGAGAAAAAGAAATCCCAATAGTTTTTAATCGCATGGCCTGAATGTTTGATTTTGCCAGGCACTCTGCAAAGATGGTGTTGCAGCTTCACTGGTGTTTGTACTTAGACTAAATTTCCCTATTGTTGTTAATATCCAAGAACAATCTGTACAGTGTCTGGATTGCAAGCTCTGGAAGCATAGATGTTGAGATCTGAATAGCAAGCACTGCAGTTAATTACTGTGAAAGCAAGGGCTAATTGAAACCTTTACATTGGAAGAGATGTTTTGATAAAATCTCCTATTTTGAGCCTACACCTGTTGGTGTGTTCTTTTAGGTATATCCATTCCTCAAGCTTTGCAAAGTGGTTTTCTTCTCTAAAGAGCTAAGGAGAGGCTTTTTTTTAAAAATTATTTTTTTTATTGTTGTGAACTGATTGTATTTAAGAATGATTTGACTGTATTGTGTAGGAACTCCCCTGCTCTATGGGCACCTTAGGGGGAAAGCAAATCTTCCTTCATAAGGTTTTACCTGTCTTTCGGAGGAGTTATTACATTTCTGATAACTGTAAAACCAATATAATGGTCCATGGGGTATTTCAGATCCAGCAAGCTTGCTGGAGAGAATTTGACCTTTACACATTCTACTACTCATGGCCACAGATACAGCTTTGTTTTGATTTAATACATTTTCATGCAAAACTTATTTGTTTCTATCCACTGCCTCTAAAAATAGACGTCACCAGCTAACACATTTTTAGAATCCGTTCCAAGTACATTTTTATTGATGGCAGGGAATGAACTATTTAGAGACGATGAGCCCTTCTCCCTAGCAGCATTCCTTGAAAAAATTAACAAAGTAGAGCAATATTGTCGTCTGTCAGCCACAGAGATTGTTGATAGCAAAGGTTTGGTTTTTTTTTTTTTGAAGGTAACTCGAGAATTAAAAAAAAAAGAAAAAAGAAAAGACCAACTCTCATCACCGCTTCTGTTGCCTTTTTGACTTTTTGGAGGAATGACAAAATCATGCATAATTCTGGTTTCAGATTAGCTATTGTGAGGTCCTCTGGTTTTGGGGTTAAATTAGAAAGAATGTGTTTGCATGGTTGGTGGCGTATTTTACAGGGAGAACAACAGTGTTTGTTTGAAGGGTGCCTGATAATTTTTCAGCTTTTCAGGGAAAGAATGGCTTTTATTATTTTAAAAAGCATGGTTTCTTCCACAGTGAATATCCAGGGGGTAGAATCTGGGTTTTATCAAAGTGCAAATAGTTAAAAAGGATTTAAAACTTCTTCCCTGGGCAGGAATGTTACTGACATGAAACAATTTTAGATGTGAGAACCCAAATCATTACCAGAAAGGAGGAAAAAAACCACACTTCTAAGTTAATGGTATAATAAGAGCTTTTATGCTGCAGAATACAGGGAATTGTGTGGGATTTATATCTGAGATTTGAGAAATAAAACCTCCTTTATGTACTTCCTTTAAACCTCTTTTTAAAAAAATACCAACTTTTTACACAATCACCTTCTCTGGGTTCCATCACTGCCACCCACAAGCCTTCTTGGCTGAAAGCAAAACAAAAAACCCTTCAAAAAAATCTCTTCAAAGGCAAAACAGACTTCTTTTTTTTTTTTTTTTTTTTTTTAATTTAGTAAATGACAAAACACTTTGGCCACAGCTAATTTGGGGGGATCAGGTGCTCTAATAATGCAGATTTTCGGTAGGGCTGCTGACTGTGCAGTCACTGGAGCTCTGACATCTCACCCCGACTGAGAAGGTCGATGGGGCCATGACCTTTCGTGACACGTGTTGATCTGTTCCTTAGTCTTCCTTCATGGACATCCCTTAAATTTTGTTATTTTTTGATGTCAGGTGCTTTTGTTGTTACTATTTGTTGTTTTAGTGACTCAGAATATTCTGAAAGCTGGATGCAACATTAACAGGAACTGGGAGATTGTGGCTTTTCATTCATTTGATTGTAAGAGGTGATATATTCTTGTCTCTTGGCTAAATATAACTTCAGGGACATTTGCAACTGTTTCTTCGGAGTATCTGGTTAAGTATGTTCTTTAGCACAAGCGACATGTATCTGATGGGGTAATAAACTGCCTGGGTATGTGCAGAATACGTGCAAGGTGCTGCCACACATCCGGGTACTTTACTTGTGCTTATCCCCAGTTGGTCTGATCTGGCGGTAGCACGTTTCTCTAGGGTGCTTTTATAAAACGTTGGACTTGTTGAGCTCTGAATCAGGTTTGTGACCATGAGATATTACTCTGGTACATATGAAAGTATTTACAGTGAAGAGGGTTGCCTTGAGCTGTTGTAAATAATAATACCAATAGCATTGATATATTTTTATATATATTAATATATATAAAATGGGTGCTCACTAAGGGCTGTGTCCTGAGTATGGTTATTATTGGTTGTGATGTTTTCTTACTTCATCAGTGATGGTTAAAATCTGAAGCTGTTAAGCATTGTGATCAGAAACAGGACCTGTAGGAGTTAGTTTCGGGACTGCCAACTATCAAACTATATCTTGCATCAAGTGTTTACATATATGTTTTTCATCCTAGGGAGCGTAAAGACTTTCTGCTTTTAAATATTTGGAAAGAAGTCTACCCCAGTGTGTATAAAGGAGCCATTCTCTTTCTGCGTACCAAGGCCACGGGAACCTTTGATGATAGCCAACATTTCAAAAGGGCTTTGACCGCACACAGAGGCTGAAGGGTTACTTTGTGAACTGAATAATTAGTTTAGACATGTATTTGATAAATAGCAAGCTCTCCCTCGACCTTCCCTTGCCCAAGCTGTGTGTTATCGTTCTCCTGGATAGCTAATTTAGGCTCTTCCCCACATGCAGTGCCTTGACGCTGTCCTTGGAGCACCCACTCGGAGCCCTTGCCTGCTGCAATAACAGCGTGTTTCGGTTCTGTTAATTTAGGTCGAATTTCAAAGGACTCATTTAAGCTTTCCACAAGGGACAGCCTGATTCTGTGTCCTGTGAAGAAACACAGTAGTTCAAAATGGGCTTAAGTGTGTGTTTGGGAGGTTCCTAGGAGCAGCAGAGAGCGAGAGGGACCTTCTTTGATGGGTGACCTGGGCTTTGCTGGGCTCCAGGGTGAGTGAGGGTTTGTCAGCTGTGTTTTAGCGGTCACAGCTGTTTGCTGGCACCGAACAACATGCAAATATAAACACATTCAGTGCAGAACCCAGAGCAATGCCTTCCTTTTTGTAAAAATGTTGTGTAATATGAGAAATATACCTTCATTATTGTAAAAAATGTTGGCGTTGCTTGAAGGTTAACGTCACCTGTGGTCACCGCAGTTAGTACAGTCCTCTCTGAGGTCTTCTGTTAGCCACTGTGACCTGGCTGGATTGGGATGTGGGGTCTTGTGAGATGCTTCTCAGGCTCCCAGGACTGCAGCGTGTCGAAGAGGGATGCTGCGGTGGTCGGATGTCCCCTGTCCCATCCTGGGGTGCCCCCATGGGTCCTCTCCAGGCTGGTGCCACCCTCCTGTGGGGTTGCGGGGCTGGTGGGACCCTGGACAGTGGTTGTGTTCCTGGGGCAAAAGTGGTAGGGAAGCACCAGGATGCTGCTTCCAGTTTGGGAGGAAAAATAAAAAGTTCACCCAGAGTTCCCTTGTGTCCCCTTGCTTTTTTTAACCAGAATCACAGAATCACAGAATGTTAGAGATTGGAAGGGACCTTTCATATCCCCAAGTTAAAATTAACAATTCAAACTGATTAGTTAAATCAGAGGGTGGTTTTTTTTTGTTTGTTTGGGGTTTTTTTTTTTGTTTTGTTTTTTTTTTTTTCCCTTTTTTTTTTTAATGGAAGGGAATTATCACAGCTCGTTATGGAGGAATGTGACATCCCCAAAGCTTTGGGTGAGGGTTGGATGCCCTTTCAGGGATCTGGTTCAGTAAGTTATTTGGCCCAGTACAGGAATGGCTAGCTGAGATTCTGGGGAGTTGTACAAGCAGCCAGATTAAATCAGTCTTAATGTGTCCATTCTGCCTTTAAAATCCGTAGTGCTTTAGCAGAGGCATGGTCTTGAGCTGCAGACTAATTGGGCATGGGTAGGGTAGGGTTGTTATTTACAGTTGGTGTTGATGAGACACTGGGAGCTGGTAATGTGTCAGCATGGCAACTATTTTGCAAAGTAACGCAAATAATTGCACATTTTGGGTCTGCCGTATTTTGCAATTGCAGCTTTTTGTAAGGGAAGAAAAGAAGTTAACTTTTATGAATTTGATTCCTTTAGTGATTTTTTTTTTTTTTGAGCCAGAAGATTTTCAAAGATGCTGAGTTGTGGGGGTTTTAAATTTCTTTTTTTTTTTTTTTTTTTTTAAACCACTTATGTAGCTAAAACTCCCAACCAGCCACCATACCATAGTTCTGTCTTGGCAGAGAACGTCTAATAAATTTCAGGCTATATTAACTTTTTACAGGCAAGTTACAAACTTTTGAAAGCAGAATTTACAATGAAAACGCTGACGACTCCCGTTCTGCAAGGTTGTGTGCGCATGAGACGATGGACTGTTGTGGCGTTTTAGTAACAGCCACAGCATAGCTCGTAATGAGCATATTTTTATATGTAGCTTTCCCGCTTCAGTA